TACTACAAAGTCGCCAGTTCTCATCTTCCAGCTCCCCAGAGACTCCGCGTGCTCAAGTTGTACTACAAAGTCGCCAGTTCTCAGCTTCCAGCTCCACAGATTGCTCCGCGTACTGAAGTAGCACTAGAAAGTCGCCAGTGCCTGCATTTCGCGCACTCGACACGCACGATCTCCGCAGAGGGTTGCGCGCACACCGGACAAATCGCACTCTCACCTGCGTTTCGTGCACTCGACACGCACGATCTCCGCAGAGGGTTGCGCGGGCACCCGGCGAATCGCACTCTCGCCTGCATTTCGCGCGCTCGACGCGCACGATCTCCGCAGAGGGTTGCGCGGGCAGCCGGCGCGCGGCACTCTCGCCTGCATTTCGCGCACTCGACGCGCACGATCTCCGCAGAGGGTTGCGCGGGCACCCGGCAAATCGCACTCTCGCCTGCGTTTCGCACACTCGACACGCACGATCTCCGCAGAGGGTTGCGCGGGCGCCCGGCGAATCGCACTCTCGCCTGCATTTCGCGCACTCGACACGCACGATCTCCGCAGAGGGTTGCGCGCGGACCGGACAAATCGCACTCTCGCCCACTCGACGCGCGCGATCTCCGCAGAGGGTTGCGCGGGCAGCCGGCAAATCGCACTCTCGCCTGCATTTCGCGCACTCGACGCGCACGATCTCCGCAGAGGGTTGCACTTTCGGTTGACACTGTTCGTCCCACCCTCCGCCTTTAAGAGAGAATTTATAAAGTGGGGAAATGTTTTTTCATTAGGACATCTCCCGTGCTAGTTTTCCATACTCACACTTGCCTACTCATTGCATGCTTGCATACTCATTGCATGCTTGCATACTCATCACTTGCATACTTACACTTGCATACTTCCACTTGCATACTTTGACACTTGCATTGCATACTTTGCACTTCACTGCTTTCGCTCTTCCACTTACACAGGGCTACGTATAGCGTTCATGTTATCCTGCAAGTGTGGTGAAAGTGTCAATGTCTAAGTGTGTCTAAGTGTAAGTGTCCAAGTGTCAGTGTTCAAAGGATTTTCCGGAAGAACCCTTCGCAATGCTTTCGGGAAAAAGAAAAAGAAAAAGAGAGACAAAACAAAACCAAGCTTCAGCTGACTGTCATTCAAAAGAACACTGCGCCGCAGCGCTGCGGCCACGTCGAGAGAAAAAAGACAGCCCGCTTGCTATTCAGTTTACTTTCTACAACTTCCTGACTGTATTCAAATTGCTGACTTTACCACCAAGCATGGAATGGCGTACAACGACTTTTTCTAGATGCGCCGGTTTCGGCTTTTTGTGTGTGTCAACTCCTGTTTCCAAGGACACTACTCTAGCTATTCCTACTACTTCAGCTCGTCAATCAGCAGTTATGTACAGAAAATCAGCAGGGGGTGCAAGCAGCCCATCCAGTCTTGCACCAACGAAGACACTGGATGTGTGCTGGTGACACTGGTGATATCGATTTGGGACGCCAAATCGACGTACCTGCCAGGAGAGAAACCTACGTAGAGCTCAAGCTGTCTACTTCGTTGTTTCCTCCAGTAAAGGGCTACTGCAGTGATTATATTTTTTCCGCATTTTAAGTATCCACCTAAAGGGCTAATGCACTCCGCGAAGAAGCCTGAAATCGTGCTCTGCGGAGCAACCTTCCCAAGTGTGTGTGCCCCTTGTAGTCACAGGGATTCCGTTGAATTGTTTCTCTTTACTTCAGCAGGGGGCCACCGGGGCCCCAGAGGAGCGGTGGCCAACGAAGACCTCCTCTGGGGCCCGTGTAAACGTACCTGCCAAACTGGTTACCTGTTGTTCTCGCTGTGGTTTGCTTTCATGGTGGTTCATGTGGTTCTGTTACTAATCGCTACTCGCGTTTCGTGTTTTGAGTCTTGCTGGGCGTACTTGCGAATTTTAATCCTTTGGTAAAGTGCTAATGCATCTGCAGATGTGAGCGTACGTCGTCATATCGCCCTGATCGCCGCCTTCGGCCTTGAGACTTGGGCCCCACTTCCTCTTGAAGACCCCGAGGCCCCAGTGGTTCTTACTTGTATTCTTAGGAATTGGTACCCTGGCCGGCGTGTGGCACCGCTGTCAAGTCCGTACGCATATCCATAAGTGTGTCTCTCCCAGTGAGAGTCCGGATGAGCCCGTAGAGTGCCTCCCCGTGGATCCGTCGAAGCCTAGGCCGAAAGAACTCAGACTTTTGTCTCATCTTTGGAATTCCAAGCTGGCTCATGCCTTTACGTGACCGCAGCGGTCAGAGGTGGCCGCCCTCGGGCATGCCGTACGTGGTCGCAGCGACCGAAGTTTGTTCAAGGTTCATTGGAACCTTTCGAGAGCTTAGTCTCCCCTCCTCCCCCTTCCCTCCCCCTTTCTTTCTTTGCTTTTTGGGGTTTTCCTGAATGGAATACTCAGGATCACCCCTTTCCTTCTTTGGTGTGTCCCTGGACGATTGTTCGTAGCTGGGAACACCTGCCTTTTTCTTTTCTCTCCTCTCCCTTTCTCTCCCTCTTTCTTTCTTTCTTTCTTTCTTCACCTTCCTTCCTCCTTGGGTGT